GAACTGACTGGCCTACATTAAAAAGGGTTTTAAAAAATTCACATTTTTTTTAATTTTTAAAAATTACAAAAGAGAAAAAGAGTTTTTAAAACCGTCTAAGGTATGTTAAATAGATGAATAAAAATATTAATATAAAACTTACAGCTACTTGTTACAAATCCAAATCAGATTCAGAAGATGAACTTTCAGAACCAAGATTTATAATTACTGGCTAGATCATTTTATCAGTAATATTGTCCAGCTTCCACATTTTTTCCTCTTCTTTAATAGTGTGATTTACTGCCTTTTCCCAGTTTTCAGGTTTTACATTATTTACGGCCTCCAAAAACAACTGTTTAACATCATGAATTTTAAAAGTGGTATTTTTTCTTGAAACTTCACTCTTTATTTGTGCCCATACCAGTTCAATCGGGTTTAATTCACAGTGATATGGTGGGGATCTAAGTACTGTCATTCCACGATTTTTGGCAATTTCATCAATTTCGTGTTTTTAAAATTTTTCTTTATGAAGGGCACACAACGAATAAAGTTCCCTTCTTATAGATCCGGGATGGTACGTAATATTTTTTGAACTCAGCCAATTCTGCAAGTCTTTTTTAACCACTTGGTTGTAGGCAGTCCTTATATAAGTCTAGAGTGATAACTTGCATTATCCATTACTATTAAACAATTCTTAGGAAGAAGATCTATCATTTGTTCGTCCCATTCTTGAAAAACATCAGCGTTCATGTCTTTATGGTAGTCACCGGTACGAGTTGATTCAAAAGTTAATAAACCACCTTCAACAAAACCGTCTGAACTGCCAATGTGTACTATTATCAGCCTGCGTCCCTTTCCTGATGGTGGGTTTAAACCAGTAGATAAGTTATTTACAAAAGCGTGCCTTTGACTTGTAACAGTTTCATCCTGCCAAAATTTATTTGGTGTATGACCCTCGTTGATCCATGTTTCATCAAGATAAAATATTTTTCTTTTTTGGTTTCTCATTTCCTCTATGGTTCTTAGAAAATGTCTTCTCCATATGACAATATCGCTTCTTTCTAATAAAATAGACTTTCTGGGATTTTTTTTCCAGCGGAAGCCTATTTCTTTTAAAAGTTTCCATAACGTACTTCGACTCATTTCTGGGTAATCCTTATCATCTCGAACTGAGACAAGAACTTTATCCAATGTTGGAAATTCTTGTCTAAAGAAGAATTCATGCACTTTAAGTCGAAGTCCTTCTTTAAAATGATATTCTATTTGAAATTTTGGTTTCCCTGGAGCATTACGTGGCATTTGAAAACTATCACATTTCTCTTCTTTAATAACTCTGTAAATCGTAGATTTCCCAACACCAAGTGTACTGCTAACTAACTCAACGGTTTCATCAACACTTTAACATAAACGTTTGTCTGTAAATGATTTAAAACAATTAAATATTAATGTTTTTTCATTAACTGTTAAAGGACCAATTTTTCGGCGTTTACACGGCACTTCCAAATTTTCATAACACTAGTATACACAATAAACTGCACCTTGCAATTGAAGTACCTACTTTTAGTGAACTGTTAAGAATTTTGAATACGCCACTTGGACCTTCCTACAAAATGGAAAAACCCACTATCACATTTTCTGTGGAATAAGTTTAGAAGGTAATTATCTAGTCAATTACTGTCGTAGATTCCTGGAATTAAAGAATTAAATGTTTGATTTTTGAAACCCTTACTTCGTGGAATGCACTCATTTCAGATAAAATAAAACGTTTTATTTTATCTAAAGAATTAAACTTTATTTTGCAAATAGATAGGTACTTATTAAACTTTTATTGGTTATATATAACCAATAAAATAAACATCTTACATTTCTTGCAAATTCATTAGTACCTGTTAACCTCCATCACTCCGACACTGGCAACCTTATTTAGGGATTAGTAACCCTCACAACTATTGTATTCTATTCTGCTCCAACCTTTATACCTGGTGGTCATACTCAATTTAAAATTGTTTTCCTATATACTTCTGTAAACTTGTTGACAAATATCTGTTTTTCATTGAGTCACCCGTATCAACAGTTTAGGGATTTGCACACATAATTTATTGTTTTATTACTCTTTCATACATAAAAATACACTATAGTTAAATTAACAATATTATCAAAAATACTTATTGTCTAGCAGACAAAATATGATGAAATACATGACTTTATAAATGTTCGAACTGCAGCCCTTGCTGTATTTGACAGTAACATAAACAGACACGTTGTACAAAGTCTTGTTGAACCTTGTTTATTGTGTCTTGAGAAATATTGTTTATTTTTTTATTTTTTTATTGTTATTCTTCAGATGACCCCAAATAAAATATTCCAAAGGATTGAAGTCTGGTGCTCTCGCTGACCATTTAATAGGTTCACGTCTACCAATCCACCTGTTCGGAAAAATTTCATCTATGTAGCTTCTAGATTAAAAAACTTAAAGCATTTGAGATGAGGCTTTATAGAAGAATGCTGAGAATATCATGGACAGCAAGGATCACGAACAAGGAAGTTCTAGGAAAAATGAAGAAGGAACCAGAGATTGTGTTTACGATCAAACGCATAAAATTGTAATATCTGGGACACGTTATGAGAAATCAGCACTGGTACTCCCTGCTACAGTTTATATTGCAAGGTAAAGTCAAAGGTAAGCGAGGACCCGGTAGAAGTAGAATATCATGGCTGCGAAATTTAAGAACATGGTTTAAGAAAACCTCAACGGAGCTGTTTCGAGCCGCAGCGAGCAAGGTTATGATTGCCAATATGATCTCCAACATCCGAAACTGATAGGAACCAGAAGAAGAAGAAGAAGCTTCTAAAATCTATAGCATAATTTGGAGGTTTACCATCCTGTTGCAACCATAAACGTTCATCAAAACCTCCAGGAGTACATCTGTTGGGAAACAAATTACGTAAAGTAGGTACGAGATACCCCCTTAAACACTCACGGTACGTTGCACCGTTTAAATTACCTTTGATAAAGTAGTGTCCGATGATTCGATTTTTTATAATTGCAGCCCATACATTTACCTTTTGCGAGTATTGTGTATGATGCTCACGCATCCAGTGGGGGTTTTATTTTGCCCAGTATCTACAATTCTGACGGTTAACCTCGCCATTTAACGTGAAAGTGACATCATCAGAAAAAATAATGTTTTGTAACAAGAGAAAGTCTCAGTGCCAGTTATCCATCATAGCTTCGCAAAATTACATTCTTCTATCGGGATCATTTTCGTTTAATTCCTGCACAAGTTTGATTTTATAAGGATGCAATTTTTCAAGCTTCAGTCCTCACATACGGAGCAGAAACCTTAACTCTCACAAAAACATCAGCCGAAAAATTGAGAAGGACACAACGAAAGATGGAGAGATCAATGCTTGGAATAAGCTTAAGAAATAGAATAAGAAACGAGGAAGTTCATAGATGAACCGGAGTGGAAGACATTATCGAACACATTACAAGGCAAAAATGGAGATGGGCAGGACATGTTGCAAGAATGAAAGACGATAGTTGGACAAAAAAATTGCTTGAGTGGAGACCACGGGCTGACAAGCGAAGCCGAGGAAGACATCCAACGCGATGGATCCACGACCTCAAAAGAATCGTGACCAATTGGATGGCGGAGGCGCAGAACAGAAGCAGATGGAAATCTAGAGGAGGCCTATGTTCAACAATGGACAACTCAGGGCTGATTGATGATTTCCACATTGATATTGTTCACAGATTTCTGGAAAAAGGCCACACTTTTGAAGAACGAGAGTGACAGTATGCACGCTGTTATCGAAAATGCAAAGAAAAGGCAATTGGCTGTATGTGTGCCAGAACAATGGGTCACATTATTCAGAATAGCTAAAACTTTAGGAAGAGTTTGTGAGGTTACGGTAATGTAAGACATTTTTTTTAACTTTCATTAACTGATGTATACCGAGAAACTTGGAAAGTTGACTAAGAAAATAAATCAATAAAATTGAGTAAAATACGAGAAATAATTTTCCCATAAACACCAAATTTACACAATATTTAAATACGAATTCGACAATGGTTTTAAAAGTTGTGATATAAAATTAAATCGAAAATACAGAGGACGGCCTTCCACTAACGTCAAATTTCCACCGAAACTGTATGATGCACTGTACGATGGTATTACTGTGGCTGTGTAATACAAGCAAAATACCCACAATGTATCATGAGTTTTATAAAAATAAATACGGTATTTATTACTTTAAAAATATCTCCATCGAGAATTATAGTAACTCATTCAAGTCACTTATGACCATTTCTGTATAAAATCTGTTTTACTCTTGTAAGATCATTAATAAATGCTATAAATCGTTCATTTCATAGCTTAATGAATTTGTGGTAACGAGGTCGATATATTTTTATAATTATCTCAATTACATAAAAAATGTGTTACTACAGTCTTTGTAGGACCAGTCTAAAAAATCTTAATTATTATATACTTTAGCTAAACTACAACATTCAGAGTCCTTACTTGAAAATAGTGACCACGTCTGGGCCAAGTTAAAGTTATCGCCAACCAGCCTGTTCAAGTGTTACTGATGATGGTCTAATAGTTCTAAAACGTTTTAAAAAACTTTTTTGATTCTTTTGATATTTTAATTTACTATTTTTAATCTATTAACTTAGACGATGCAAAACCTCTCCTTCAACAGCTATTCTTTTGTTTATGAATTATGTTACAATACTCTGATCTTCTCTTATTTTGTTACCAAGTTTGTGATTTAGTTTCTACTAGAGAATTTTGTCATTAAACTACTAGTAATACTAAGATCTCTATTTCCGTTTTTAAAGATGGGTTCATTTCAATAACATTTTCCTTTTAATGAATACAAAATTATTTATTTAAACATTACCTAAAGCTTCACAAATATACACTATATACACGACAGGTCATTCACCCCTGATATGGCAGCGACATTTCTTCTAAATATATTTTTTATATGCCACCGTAACAAGAGATATTTTCATAATAGTTGGTTTGTTGTATTTGGTCAAATATCCTTTAATTCGCTTACTTCCTGACTACTAAAGGAGCAGCTGCGGGTAGAGCGCTGTATGCAGCTGGAAGAGCGCTGTATGCAGCTGGAAAAGCACTGTATGCAGCTGGAAGAGCACTGTAGGCAGCAGGATATGCGCTGTAAGCAGCAGGAAGAGCGTTGTATGCTGCTGGAAGGGCAGCGTATGCAGCGGGAACAGCTGCAGGAGCTACAAGTGGAGCTGCAACTCTCGCAGGGGCGGCGACCAAAGGAGCAGCGACGGGAGCGGCAACAACGGGAGCGGCGATACCATGGTTAACTACACTAGCGGTGTAAGATGAGGCGTATGGGACAGAGTATGCTGCTGGTACAGCAGCTAAGGCTGCTGGGACTGCGGGAACTGAAGGGCCTCCCAAACAGCCTGAGATTGCGATTGCTACGAAGAGAGCAACGATCTGAAATGAAATTAAAATAAGAATAAAAACGTGTATCTATTTGCTGTAAACTAAAAACTAAAATTTGGAGTTATTTTTATATTTATAATTCCAAGATTATTGCGACGAATAAGTACATCACAGCATGACTGTGATACAAATGGTAATTTCACCACAATATAAATAAAGTGGAAATGCGTCTAGTTTTTCTTTAGGTGCCGTCTCCTCTAAGGAGATTGGTAATCATCACAGCTATTTTCACTTTTGAGATTGCAGCTCTGAACAAGTCGATGGAACTGAAATTATACCACTTTCTAAGATTGTTGAGCCAGAGGATGCATCTTCTTCCAATACTTCGTTTTCCCTGTATTTTTCCTAGCATTATGGTTTGTAGTAACACAAATTTATCCCCTCTCATAATGTGGCCGAGATATTGTAACTTTCTTATCTTAATCGTATTCATAATTTTCATTTCCTTTGTCATCTTTCTAAGGACCTGAACATTAGTTATTCGGTCTACCCAACTTATTTTTAATATCCTTCGATAGCTCCACATCTCGAATGCTTTAAGTCGATCGCTCACCTCTTTATTTAAGGTCCAGGCCTCCACCCCATGCAGCAGCACCGAAAACACATATGAACGATATATTCTTATTTTGAGTTGCAAACTAAGGTCTCTATTGCATAATACTTTTCTCATCTTATTAAATGCTGCTCTAGCTTGTCCAATTCTCATTTTTATTTCTTCTGTATACTCGTTATGTTCATTAATAATTGTACCAAGATATCTATATTTTTTTACTATTTCTATTGGAACCCCTCTTATGTTTAAAATGTCTTGCTGTTGTGTTTTGGAAATGGTCCTTCCTCACTAGCATTTACTACATTATCTACCTCTCGTATACCCATGGCATTCCTAAATCCAAATTGGGTTTTAGTGATGTCTTGTTCCACTTTTCTGAAAATTCTTAAATGGATAATTTTTAAGAATATTTTTAGTGTGTAACTCATTAGACTGATTATACGGTGGTCATTACATTCCCTTGCATTAGGTTTTTTTTTGGTAATGTAATAAATGTTGATTTGAGCCAATCTCTCGGAATAATACCCTTATTATATATATATATATATATATATATATATATATATATATATATACATTATTATATGAGTCTACTAATACATTGATCTAATCTTCTGATATTAATTTAAATATTTCAGTTGGAATTGTGTCAGGCCCCGCAGTTTTATTAGATTTTGCCAGATTTATTGCATGTATTATTTTAACCTTAGTTATATTTGGACCTATATCATGTTCCTCGCAATCGTTCATGCTATCTTGTTGTGTCCTGTCGTCCTCAAACAATTCTTGGACGTATTCTTTCCATCTGTTTAGTTTGCCTTTGATATCAGATATTATTTTACCATTCGTATCAACCAGGGTGTAATTATCCATCCATTACCATCTTATACCTGCTAATTCTAAAATTTTTTTGTGCTTTTCTAAACATTTGTCACTGTACCACTTCTTTTTAGCTGCCCGTATTTTTATCCTGATCTCCTTGTGTGTGGCTTTGTATTCGTTTACATTTTTGTTTTTGTATAATCTTCTTTTGTCCATTAGTTGCCGGATCTCATCTGTCATTCATTGAGTCTTAGCTTCATCGATTTTGTGACTACTTAGCGTATCTTTAATTGGCATCATTAATGTGTTCTTAATGTTTCCCTTATTTCGTTGGAATCATCGTTATCAATGATTATTGTTTTGCTTAACTCTTCGTTAATTTTCAACGTTAGTTCTCCTTTTATATTCGGGTGTTTTAGAAGAGTGCTTATTTGTTGATTTTTTATTTTATTTAAGTGATTTCCATGTATATAATCTACGTGGTAGTAACTAAAAGAATGTATTTGTCGCTATCATTTTAAACTTCTTACAGAATTCCGCCAGTCTTTCCCATCTTTCGTTCCTAGTCCGAATTCACCAATAATGTCTTGGAATTTACCTTTTCCTAATTTGGCATTAAAATCCTCCATTGTTATTGTTATATCTCTATTATTGGTGCTGTCTAGTGTTTTTTAAATGTCATTGTAGAACTCTTCTATTTCATTTTCATCTTTATCTGCAGTGGACGTGTACACCCGTATGATCTTCGCGCTGTTTGGGCTTTGATCATTAACAATGCGTCTACTAAGATGAACCTATAAGAAAAATCCCTTCTAATATGCATTAGGGCCACTTTTAGCATTTTTTGTAAATAAATAATAAAAAAAATAAACCTCTTGTAAACGTTCCTCTTATGACTAGTCAATTCATAACGTAAATAAATGGATTCACTGAATATATGGTACTAGTTTTGAAATTAAATCGAATAGAATTATCCAATAACACAATCACAAGGTCAAAACTCTCAACCTACCAATTCATTTTTTGTTATTTCTCATTGTCCCACACATACAATCGTCTTATTATCAAAGTCATTACCAATTAGCCTCCCAGTCTCTCGAATCATGTATTCGAAATTGAAAAAGCGGTCAGAAATAATAAAAAATAATTCAAAAACCCAATCTAACAAGCAACATACAGCCGACAATGCATTACAGTATGTTCTCTACAACAAATCAAATTGTATAAACCATCTGTTGAAATATATTTTCATTTTAATAATTAGTTTGATGTTGTGTTGATATAACATAAAATGTTTTTTAATCAATGAATTATTGTATTTGTCAGGCTGATTGGTGTGAAGTAAAGAAAAAACAAATTAAAGAAATATAAACGGCGTGATTAATAATGCTGTATGGCCAAATAGATATCTGTTTTTTGTTTGGATTTTGTACAAGTCCTTAAGATTTAATCAATAAAATTTGTTAATTACAATTTATAAATATATTTTTTAATCATATCGATTTCCGATATTGCAAAAAAAAATGTTGGCGGTTATAATATAAAGGAAACCACGATATGACATACGAGAACATTTTTATTATCGTACAGCTTCGATAATGTCCTAAAGCCAAAAGTGACCAACTTTAAAAACTTTAACCTACACCATTTATACACTTTGCTTCAAAGTTAAATAACACGAAAAACTACCTCAGCACATACATTACTTTAGTGGCTAACTCTCAGAAATAGAAAAAAATACATCGCAGAAAGAAAAGAGGACACATATAAAAAGAACTCCAAGAAATGGAAGAACTAAATAAACCATCAGAAACCAGAAAATTCTACCAAAACCTTAACAAAAGTAGGAAAGAATTTAAATGAAGAACAGTGATGTGTAGAAACAAAGAAGGACATATAGTAACTGAACAGAGTGAAATACTACAAAGATGGACAGAATTGTTCAAAGAAAAGTTTGAATGAAAATAAATAAGAAAGATCCACTATATGATGGAATTATACTGGATCAAACGGATACCAGAGAAACATATCCCCCTCAGTTGCTGAAATGCAAGAAGCAGTTACCAGACTGAAAAACAACAAGTCACCTAGATTAGACAACATTAGCGCAGAATTAATAAAGACTCCCTATTGAATGCGATACACGAATTAATAGTGAACATATGGAATAATAAACAACTGCCACAAGACTGGAATACCGGAGTAATTATCCCACTACATAAAAAGGGAGATTAGCTTCAATGTCAAAACTACCAGAAATAACGCTACTGACTGTGGCATATAAACTACTGTCAAATATTTTGTATGACCGATTGAGAACATATGTGGAACAAATAGTTGGGGGATGTCAATGTAGTTTCCGCAGGCAGAAGTTCACAATAGATCAGATCTTCGTGTTGAGGCAAATCTTGGAAAAGACTAGTAAATTTAATATAGACACACATCATCTTTTCATTGAATTGGAGTGTGCCTATAATAGCATCCATAAAGAATTTCTAATCCATGCACTGAAATAGTTTAATATTTCAACTTAACTCATTGATATAGTAAAAGGAACACTTGAAGTACAAAGCAAAATTCGAATTCAGAACGAATTAATAGATACAATCCATGTGAGAACGGGCCTACGACAGGGAGATGCCCTATCCTGTATTCTATTCAACATGACATTAGAGAAAATAATTAAGGAGTCAAAACCCAACACCAGAGGAACAATAATAACAAAAAGTGTACAAATATTGGCATTTGCAGATAATGTTGATGTCATAGCTAGAAGCGAAAGAGAGATGATAGAAGCATTAAATGCAATAGAAAGCATAAAACAGTGGCCTAAACATTAACGAAATAAAAACCAAATACATAAAGGCCAGTGAATCGACAGGTCAAAGGAACCTACAGAATATAACAGTTAAGAGAGGAATACATATCGCTAATAAAACATAATGGACTGATTAAACATCTAAGATCTAATAACATCACAAGAAAAACCAAATGCAAAAATATACAAGACCCTGATAACACCGGTTCTTGTATATGGATCAGAGAAATGGACACTGTCGAAAAGCGATGGGAATCTTTTAGGTACATTTGAACGAAAAATCCTTAGACTAATCAAGCACTTAGACACTCTAACAATGGTTTCTAAAATACCAAGGGACACAGTTGCTTAAGCGGTAGAAAAAATAAAGCAATTCAATTAGGTGATCAGTGTTAGGTAACACAAAATTTAATTTAATTAAAAATTTGTTTATTAATGCCAAAAAAAAGATAATATATATCTTGCTTCGAAGGAGATCCGCGACTTAATTTTCCATGGAGAGTGGGCATTCTGATTGTTTATTATTCTGTGCTACAAGTGTACAAAAACAAAAAAGTGACTAATAATTACATAATAAACATTTTTCTAAATTTAAACTAGAAAGAATAAAATATATTACAAAACCAACAGAAACCTGTGGAAATATCAAAAATCTAACAGAAAACTCAGAATACTACCCAAGAAAAATCGATGATAGATTACATAACCAAATCTACAGCTAACAATTAATGGAAATCATTCTGGATAGTCCCAAGGAAGTCGGAGGCCTGCAACAGCAAAATATATACGGGAAACTGTCTGATAAAACCAAAATATTGCTAAAACAACGAAGGGAATTAAAAGTAAGTACTGCCATACAAAGAGTACAATACACAGAAGTTTTTAAGGCAATAAAGAAACATATTAAGGAGGAAATAACAAAATACAATGAAATACTGGTAGACAATGCAGTCAAAATGAAAAACTGTATGGTAATAAGAAGAGCATTATTATTGTTCTGAAGCTATTTTCTTGTGGCATTTTAAATTAATTACTATTTAACTGGGAATAAGCCACAATTAAAGGTAAAGATACGTTTATTGACGTTTCAATTTCCACTTCGGAAATCGTTCTCAAAATACTTTTTTCTCAAAATACTTTTTTGAGAACAATTTCCGAAGTGGAAATTGAAACGTCAATAAACTTATTTTTACCTTTAATTGTGGCTTATTCCCATTTAAATAGTAATTAAGAGCATTATTCATTGGGAAGAATCAAACTGTTGCTCTAACAAATGAAAAACCTACAATAAAGTCCCTGAAGTTCTTAAAAAAGCAATTAGTAACCACAAAGATATACCAGAGGTCTTCCTGGAACAAGTATAATTGACAATCACAAAAATTAAAAGCAATAAATCAACTGGAATAGATGAAATAACAGTAGAACTGCATAAATACACTGGCAAGAAAACCTGGAAAACCTGGAAAACAATATGAAAAACTACAGAGCTATAAGTCTACTACCAATTATATACAAGACATTGACAAAATCATCAAGAACAATTAACGAAAGCATTATGTGCTACAAAGCCAGGAGTCTGGCTTAAGAAGTGGATTCAATACTCTGAAGTATATTCACATGCTTCTACAATTAATGAGTAGAGTTCAGAATATGAAATATTTCTAGCCCTAATCTTTATAGACTTTGAAAAGGCTTTCAATTCTATATATCCCTGGAAAGTAATAGAAGCTTTAACCAACCAAACCATTGACAAACTCTACAAAGAGTAACTAGCAAATATATATAGAAAAGCTAACGCAGAAGTATAAATTTATAAATACACTTCAGAATTTCTCACTGCTATAGGCGTCAGACATGGAGATGCAATATCCCCAAAGCTTTTCACCGCACTTTAAAAAATATATTCAGCAAAATGAACTGGCAGAACAGAAGCCTATCTGTTGATAGAGAAGACCTCAATCATCTAAAATTTGCGGATGAGATTATTTTGCTTACTAATAATCCTACAGAACTAACGAACAGAAGTTATAAGCGACCTAAATGAAGCCAGCAATAAAGATGGCCTAAAAATTAACTTGCCGAAATCAAAACCAATGTACAATGAGCTAGTGGTTGTACAAGATGTAATAACAAGATGTACAACACGGAATTTAAGACAGTAAATAAGTATGTATCCCTTTGACCATTAATACATAAATCCTTATTCCCAAAAATATGGAACAGACAGAAAAATCAGATCACTGATGTAATCTACAGAATGACAGTGGGTAAAACATTAACCGAGAAGAATTGAGAATATGGTCGGCTGGAATTAAAATGTGGTATCTAAGAAGCGTCAAGAGACCAAGACAATGTTCAAACTTAAAATCGCACTATGACATTAAGAAACAAGCAAGGAAAGGACACAAGAAAGCGAAAGACCCAAAAAATTAAGCAAACAAGTGCCAATAGAAAAAAGAACAAAAAAACAAAGCTGAGATACATCGAACAAATGGAAAATCATATAACAACTTTAAAAATAAAAAAAAAGATAACCAAACATATTAGAATTTAGAAGAATCCTGGCACATGCCAAGACCCAAAAAGGGGTGTCGATCCAGTGATAATGACTAGTGATATCTAATAAGCATAAACATACCTGTGAATTATTATTACTACGTATTCTATAAAAAAACTAACACAAAAATCTTAAAACCTTCAAATTTAAAATCCAAAAACCAATCCAAAAAACTTACCATTTTTTGTGAAGCCATTTTACTTAGTTGTCTTAGGTAATTGCTAGTCGAGTGGACTGTGTCAGAAAATAAAAATCGATGGGTATTTATATCTCAAAGATGTCCACACACCTATCCCATTGGCATGTAATGCATATCATGTCTTACAATATGTAGAACATTGTTGAAATCGATTCTAATTAGTGTTAGTGCCACCAGACAATATTGCACGAAATTTTGGTGATGTCTTGAATATTTATTGCCTATTGTTATTCCACAAGCGATGGTTTGATACAACTTGTTAAGGATTTTAGTAATAGAAGAATACATCAAATTTTATAAGTAAAAAAGACGAATTCATTTAAAATGAATATTTCATTAAAATTGGAATAATTTAATGTTGCAAAATTAACATAAAAACTAAATTTATCCATAAAAAAAGTGTGCAAAATTTGAGAATTATCAGTCAAGTAGTTATTGAGATACAGTGAACACCGACTTGAAAAAAATATTTCGCGAAAAACACGTTTAAAAAAAATATTTTGTTTTTGCTACCCACGTCTGTTACAGGTCTATATAGCGACTTGCTTCCTGCTAAAATGTCTAGCGCATCTTTTTGCCCTAGTATTCGACGAACTCTGTCTTTTTTTGTTGCATCTGCAGCTTTTTATCTGCTCTAGTTATTATGAGGAGTTAAACATATGTACTTACTTCCGGCAGGGGAGGAATAGACAAGGACTCCCAGGTTGAAAAACCTGGGAGTTCTCGAACATCAAAACACGATAAAGTGAAATTATTAAAAGCAGTAATAGGTACGTGGAACGTCAAAAGCATGTATTAATCTAATAAAATGCATAAAACCCTTCAAGAAATGAAAATAATGAATATAAATGCATTAGGTGTAAGCGAACTATGGTGGCCTAACTCAGGATACCTTTCGACCGAAACTGGTTCATTATATTACTCAGGAAACATTGAAAACCAGCACAGACTTTGAGTAGCAATTATTGTCGATATAGAGGTCAACAAGCCAATAGAGGGTTTAATTCCAATCTCAAAAAAAATAATGCTACTACAAATCAGAACATCACATACAAAACTAAATTTGATCCAAGTATATGCGCCAACGACAGATGTAATAGAAAACGAAGTAGAAAACGCACTGAAAATGACAAAGAACAGGAAAAGTCGGCAAGGGTAGAGCTTGAACAATAATGGGAGATCAAGGACTAGGGGAACATAACGGTAAAGGAGATTGTTTAATACAATTCTGACAAGAACAAAATCTAATAATCACAAACACTTTCTTTAAGTTCCTATAAAACGGTTATATACATCGCGCTCAGCAGCAGATAAACCGGAAAAAGTGGTAAGAAACCAAATCGATTATATAAAAATTCAAGAGAGATATCGTAACACAATCAAATCAGTTAAAACATATCCAAAGTGTAGCCAAAAAATACCTGCCAAGAGGCTATCGCAAAGAATATATCCCTGGAGGGTCGAAAAATTACGAAGAATTATATTAGAGCTTTCTTGAAACTGGCGACCAAGAAATAGCGGATAAACTACTGTACAGCCTAGATGCCGCTAGAAGCCAAAAGTGGACGGAAACAGTAGAAAGTCTAAACTTCCAGAAATCAACCAGACAGGCATGGTCATTACTAAAAAGATTAGGGAGTGGTAAAGCCAGATACCGTAGCATCACATATAGTAAAAATATCAAGGCACCAAAGGATAAAGCATACACCATCTACGTAAAGAGATTTTAAACCTTTAAAACATGTAGCCACAAAAACGGAGTATTTCCTCCCCTTCACCAGCGAAGACATATCAGAGGCTCTTAAAGACGTTAAGCCAGCAAAAGCACCAGGATTTGATAATATTCACCCTGAATTCCTAATAAATTGTGGCAAGTATCACAGCCACCTTTACTTCCAAGCCATGAAGTAAAAAAGGCAACACCGCATTCTATGACGTCGGTAGTCCGATAATCAGCTAGGTCTACCAGAATATCAAACTAATTTGAATTTTAGGAAACTGATATTTTGAAAACTTCAATTCATTACAGAAATATTTTTAGGGAAATTAAATTAATAAAACCTTATATATACCTAGTAAATATATATAAAGTTTTATTATTATTTAGGTTATATTATCAATAACATAATCACTAGAGTAAAATTTATTGCACTTAAAATACAGTGTCAAACAGTTAATCTTACAATCAAATGCAGTCAAGAATCTCTAGAAATTTTAAATATTAAGTACTTAAGCATATAAATAACACAATACATTAACACGACATTGAAAAAGATTATTAAAAATACAAAAGATATAAAATTTGTGCTAAGTAAAAACTTAGTGTAACTATTATGATTAAAAAATTCATCCTAAGAAATCAGACACAATATAAATATGGTTCTAAATTAATCTAATTAAAAATTAAATATTTTACTATTTACTTATAACTTTTGTTGAATTTTCATACTTAGATATACAAAAGTAGCAATTTTAAATATGAATAGGTTTTTTGTCATATAGACCAAGTTAAAAGAGGTATACATGAAAAATGTGTTGAATGTAACATACCATTTATAACTTGTATATCGATTTAAAATAGCCTATATTCTCAAAAGATTTTTGAATGTAATACTCAAATTTGTTATCACTTATCTAAAAAGTAGATCTAAATGAGAAAGTAAGTTCTCTAATTGTGACCATCTTGTTAATTTACTATATTGTAAAATCCATTTCAAATTATTACCACTTAATCTATTCTTACCTACATTGACGATTACACTAAAATTACTGCTAACTATTACACTACATATTACACAAATATTATCACACTTGTGTCCCAACTGATTAATGTTTAATATATAGAAATATACACAGTCACTTGTAATTTTACTTGTCCAGTTTTTCAATGGGATATTATTGTCTAAGTCTAATTGACATAATTATGTTATCTCTTGTTCCCTCTTCTTATGCAAAAAGTTTCTTCTGTCTTCGGGATTCCTTCTTTCTTTAGTACGATGAACAGTTAAATATGATGGTACTTCAGGAAATATATTAGGAACTGCATTGCCTTTTAATTTGGGAAATATTAACTTTTCAGTGTGTACATTTCCATCTTTATCTTCTCATTGTTCAGTCCGCTGAATATCATCTTCATGAAAATGTTTGGCACATACTACGGAAGATTTGGTAATTGTACAGCCTTCTCTATGAATAGAGCATAACCCAGTATACCTTCTTTGGGGATCTTTGGGAAACAAAAACGTACTTTGTGCCTGTTTCGTTTTTAAAGTACTGGCATAATTGGTTTTGCAACCAGGTACACAACAATGCCAGAGCATCTGTAACAAAAAACAAAAGTATTATTATTGTTGTTTTTAGTTTACATATTTTGTAACAAGAAGCAAAAGTATTATTATTTTCAGTTTGTTTTGTAGGTTATATTTATACTTGCCTTTTAAATTGTCGTTAAGAATCTTCTAAAAGTTCTAAATTTAATGAAATTTCACCTATATTAATATTTTCTAATTGATTTAAACACAATTTACAAATAAAACATTCGAATAAAGTTAAAAAAACAATAAATTCAACAAACTTTACAAGCCTTCCTATATGAAATGTTAAACCAAAACAAACCACAGTCGGACTACCACGCGTTGTTGCCAAATTTCTACTTCATGGCTTGGAAGTAAAGGTGGCTGTGCAAGTATACAAAAGTTTGACTGGCTCGATTTTTCACAGACATCATGGAAACTGGAAATAAAGCGCTCTAAGATAATAGCCATACTAAAGCCAGATAAACCCGCTGACAACCTAAAAACTACAGACTAATTACGCTTCTCTCTGCCATCTACAAACTATTAGAGAGGCTTATATATAATAGAATCAGTACAGAACTGTTGCAGGTGATCACAGTCGAATAAGCGGGTTTTCGACCAGAAGAGAGGGCCTTATATACAAAATTCTGCGTACAATATCCTGTAAGCATGCTCAAAGAACGAATGTTTCAAGTAGTGATGGGCACAGATATCAGCCCACCAAAGAATCTTAAGAATAGCCTACCACAGGGGTAATTGCTCTCTCCACTACTATTTAGCTCATACTTAGCAGATATGCCGAAATCACAATCAAGAAAGCTCGGATACGCCGATGACGGGGCTCTCACTACACGATGCAGAACACTAGAAACGTCTGAAGAAGTTTTGACGGCCGACATATATATATATATATATATATATATATATATATATATATATATATATATATATATATTGGGCAAATATTTTCACAAGTGGCGACTTCAACCAAATGCGTCCGAAACAGAAGTTAGCTGCTTTCACCCGAACAATAAATTTGCTGGAAAGGAACTCAACATACGGTTTGAAAATACCACACTTACCCACAACAAAACACCGAAGTACCGGGGCATAACACTAGACAGAACGCTATCATTTAAAGAGCATTTAACAAAGACTGCCCGAAAGTTGAGTACAAGAAATAACATTATACAGAAGCTCTGCAGTACCACCTAGGGAGCATCGTCCACACGTTAAAAGGTCGATACTCAGCTGCACAGCACTATGTGGATGATAGCTGGTACAATTAAATCAACTCCCACCCAATGGCTTCCAGTATTACGTCACATCCCACCTTCACATTTAGGGAGTTGACGAGTTGACGCACTTACACGTGAATACAAAAAGATCATGAACAATATAAACCTGCCGATCCACGAAGACACGGAGGATGCACGAAATACCTATCTACTTTCTAGAAAACCACCAATGAAAACAGCAAGAATGATACATGAGGAGTTCAACATCACGAATGCATGGTCCCAAGAATGAAACGCATGGCAAAGTAACATGCCCTGCATTACCCACAAGCCACCACGTTTTGATCTTCTATACAAAATATGGTCTGCTTTAAATAGGATCCGAACCAGACATGGCAGATGTGCATATATGCTACATACATGGGGAAAGAACTCGTCTCTTCAATGTGACTGTGGGAACCAA